GACTGCTTTCATGAAACACGCAATGTATGAGCTGCCAGCCAATCACCTCCCCAAAATGAAGATCAGTGAGTCCTTGCATTTGAATGTGGGAGAAGGATAGTTACCATGGTTGTTCTTGTTTTCCTTCACCAGCTAGGGCTTTGGTAGGAACGAGGAGTTCTGGAACCTTACACAAAAGAAGGCTGTATTTCCGAAGTGGCAGTCATTGGGGTCCCAGGGAACACCAGGATCTGATCTTATAATTAGGTTAGTCTTTCAGGTTGACATGTTTGAAGAGTGTAGGCCAGCTATTTGTAGAATGTCCCTCGACTGGATTCTGGTTGCCTGATACTTTTTCATGATTAGCTTCAGGCTATGCATTTGAGGCGGAAATTCCTCGGGACATTACATGAGAAGGCACATGCTGTTTTTCCTGCTTTCTACCTCCTATCTGAGCTGTGCACTGGGACTGGGGAATGCAGTCCTCAGAGACACCACTCAGACAGCAGCATGCCAGGCTTCTAGCTCAAAATGAAGAAATCTGAACCTCTTGAGTCAAACCTCCACCCCCAGCTCCTCACTCAGGCAGTATGATTATCAGTTCAGCGGAGTTCCGTGGAGGCAGCCCATAGCAGGAGCACTGCAGGCTGGCAGCTGAGAGCTGACAAGGAAGAGGACTCCACTCCAGGTCCTGGAGTCACCCCCACCCAGGTCTTGCATCCTCGGGGATTGGCTGGGGTGGGGACGGAGGAAAGGGCCACCTCATTCCTGTCTTTCTGATTCACGTCTGGGAAGCTGAGATGCCTGCAGGGTGACCTTCACCAGGGCTGGACAGCCAACACCCTCTGGGTAACTTGTTGCCAACCACAGGTCACCCAATCAGTCCGGGGCTTGCTTCCAAACATTCGTTCCCAATCCATTATTCATCTAGGCAGAGTTGGCCAAGGGGAAGAGGAGACGCAGCTGGAAGCATAAGATCAAGCTCGCCCTAGGCAAAACTGAAGAGCCCAAATAGCTTGTTTTCAGAGGCTCCTGCTCTTTCCATACATTTCCCCTTTTTCAGAAATAATTTTCTCCCTGGGGCCTAAGGCTCCCAAGCGCTGCTGAGTAGAGACGGCATCTCACTCACAGTAAAATGTTGGGTGCTTTCTGCATATTTGGAGTACATGCACAATTTTTAAAAAGGAGGGTTCATTTTCTCCTGGTGCAATTATTATCCAAAAAAAAAAAAAAATTATTGGAAAAGGGTGGGATGTCCACAGCAACGGGGGAGCCGTATGGGGTCTTCAAAACATCCTTCAAGTCACTCCAAGGAGCCCACCAACTGCCTCTATGACTCTGAGGCTGGTCAGCAAGGCTTTAGTACTAAACCCTGTGCTCAGCGCTGTTGTCCTTTCTAGCAAGCCCAAGTCCCAGGAAGCTCTCATCAGGAACAAGGAGAAATATCTGCAAAGAGCACTAGATTACACAGAATCCACTCCACCAATCTGTTTAATATGTTGGTTACTTTACCTCACCAGGCCTCAGTTTCTTCATTTAAAAAATGAGAAGGTCCAGCTGGTGGATCATGAAGCTCTCTCAGCTTTGAAAGGCTGAAAGATTATATTCTGGCCTGTCATGATTCATTCAAAGTTATGGAAATGGGAAGTGGCTTCAGATTTTTAAAGCTAATAACATTTCAGATTTGTTATGTGCTAGTCTAAGTACTTAACCTGAATAAACTCCTTGGAGCCTCAAAAAAACATCTGAAGTCATTACTCTTACCATCCCCATTTCACAGATGAGGAGACTGAGATGCAACCACTCAGGAAGTTGCAAAGCAAGAAGCCGAACACAGCAGTGTTAACTGTTAGTGCTCCAAACCACTATGCTATACCGCCTCTCAAAGTAGAACAATGTGCCACCAAGAATTGAGGTATGTTAGGCAGGGCTGGGGGCAAGAAGAAAGAGAGCTAAGAATGCTGGCCAGGACTGGTAGTCGGGCTGCCCCAAGCTTCGGGGTTCACGCACAACAACGGAGCCCATGGCAAGAGACGTGAGCAGAAAGCAGTCCAGCCGGGCCTGTATGACCATATGGAATGAGCTCCCTTGCTGCCACCTTAAGTCTCTGAAAGCCTGCGGCTATCTCTGAGCAGAACTGGCAAGGAAGGTTCATCACAGACACACAGGGCAGATTGTGCAGTCCTGCACCCACCCTGGCCAGCCTTCTTGAAGCCAGGCCTCTCCAGGCTCGCTCCTGCATGGCCATGATTACAGGACTGGATGCCTGAAGGGCGGCCTGAAGTTCTTTTCCCTGAAACTCCCCATGCCTGAGCACATGGACACACAGGTCTCCAAAAAGAACATCCAAGGAACTGTTTCTTCACTCTCTGTACCGCTAATGGCAAATAAGCAAAAGTGTATATATAAATGTGATACTGTGTGCTCGGGACCCTGCAGGGAAGAGAGACAGAGACAGAGAAAGAGACACAGAGAGACAGTGACAGAAAGAGACAGAGAGAGAGAGAGAGAGCAAGACAGAAATACAGAGAGACAAGAGACAGAGAGAAAGTAGCAGAAACATAAGACAGACAGAGGGGATGGGGGCGAGAGACAGGCAGGCAGGGAAATGACTCTCAAAAAGTCTCAAATCTTGTTCAAAGCTTCCCATTTAAATAAACCCAGATCCTACTGCAGTGTTCGGGAGCCTCTGTTGGTGTCTTAAAATCAGTGTTTTAGCTCCACCTAACTTTTGCAGGTTTTTTGTTTTTGTTTTTGTTTTTTAAGTTACAGTCTGGCATAAAAGTGCCAGTTTGTTATGTGGGTGGGTAATGGTATGCTTTTAATTAAGGAGGCAGAGACTAAATTAAACCACATCAAGTGGCTAGTGTTTCTTTAATTTCAGATTGTGGGTCCCTTACCCTGAGCACAAGGAGTTGCACTAGATCATGATTCCCCTTTAATGGTTATGGCTGAAAAGCTCCATCTCATGACCAGCTTCATAATTGATTAAACACAACTGTGGACTCCCATGATCAGGAAGTGCAATTTTGCTGGTGTCGCTTCAAGTCTAAAATACCTCCAGGGTAATTACAGGCTCAGAGGCAACTCCAAAGGCTTTGAAGTAGAGAAAGAAAAGATTAGGGCGTCCAGAGGATCTGTGCCTGTTCATTTGTCCTTCATGGCAAAATCTTGAAAGCCTTTGGGGAAAGATGCCTCTGTCTGCAGGAGTTCTGGGGGTCCGGACAACCCGGGTTGGCTGCAGACTGGGAAGGAGAGCAATGTCCCGGGTCATGACAAGCTTCAGAGGTTACTACGGTGTCCCCTACTTAAGGCCACCTTTTCCTGTTAGCCCCGAATCCAGGATTCATGCAGCTCTGATTCTCTTTGCCTTGGGTTTGGTGTGCCTGACTGGCCGTGACTTGAGCCTTCCACTCGAGGCGGGGAGAAGTGCACTCTGTCTGACCAGCTAAATTATTTACTTTGATAGCAATTATCAAACACTACAAACCACACTCTAAAGGCCTCTTTGCAGTTCACACAGAGAGGATATAAACCTCACTCAGAAATGGTGGGAGTGGAGGGCTCTTTTTTATTTTTTAATTAATAATAGGTTAGAAGTAAAAACCATTATTAGTGACAGGACATAATGGGAAAGCCAGACCTGCATTGTTAAGAGGACTATTTAAGGAAATGTTAATGAATTGAATTTGAAGTTCTTCGTAGTCAACCTGGAGACAACTAATGGTTTCAAAGTGGAAAAGTGAAGAGTTATTAAATGTTGTATATTTATTACACTAATAATCAAACTGCCAGAGGCTGGGAGAGATGCAAATACGGGTCCAAGTCCTATTTAACCATTAGCTGTGGAAATGCAAGAGATGCACTGGGGGAAAGTTAGCGCATGCAAACATTTGCCAATGCCACCATGATGAATAGGTCATGGATTAGGACCATAACTATTCCAGTCCCAGGAAAGAGCCCATTTCAGCAGAGGATAGAATCGTAACTTAATTTTTTACTGGCACTTGCAGAGAGACAAGGACAATATTTCTGGCGGCTGCCATTTTACATAGTGTGGGGGTTTTGTACTGAAATAAACAAATAATAAAAGACACCTTTTCCAGTTGTCCAAGTCTTCCAGCTCTCCCAGGAAGAGGTGAGATCCCTCAGATCCTGGCATGTAGGAAAGAGCTCTTTCTAAGGCTGACATCCCTCTGAGGTAAATCTGCAAAGATCCTCTGGTATCTGTGATAACTTCCCTCAATGAACAGTTCTATTTGTAGCAAACTAAATCTCACAGAGTAGAAAGAGTGTGGATTCTAGAGACAGAGTCTGAGTTCTGAACTTGGAATTCTGAATTTGCTACTTCCGACCAGAATGAACCTGCGAAAGTCACTCCTCTCTCTGGACCTCAGTTTCCTCATCTGCAAAATGGGGAGAGCAGTACCTATCCTGCAGGATTGGGCCAAAGAGCAGTGATAAAGTGTGTCAAGTGCCTAACGGAGTGGCTGCAACATAAGAGGCTCTTGTTTTAGGGGGTTCCCTAGAATTGGACCTTCCATGAGAATTAGTGCACATTTGTAATTTGTAAAGAGGATCTTCCCAGGGCAAATCTGGAGGGGAGTAGGAGAATCAGGATAAGAAAGGGGAGATGGCCAGAAAAGGGCTGGATTTCGGGTGAAGTCTCATGGAAGGTAGCTTCAGCCTGATCCTCAGTAGAACTCTAGAGTTTAAGTTATACCTTAGAGTCACCAGAAGGCAAGAAATTGGGTGTTCATATCCCTGGGCTGTTTGTCATTGGTCAAGGCCTCCCTGAGATCTGAATTCCCAGGCACTTTTCAGCTCTCCAAACCAAGAGCAAAGCAGGCTCTGATAGTCTGAAGACAGTCCAGAAGACAAGCTGCAGTTGTTGACTGTCAGAAACTAAGTGGCTGGTGGTGCATAAAAATGGTAAAAAAGGATCTGAGGGCATTTGGGCAGACTATCAACGTCGTACACAAGAGTGCTCCACACATCATGCCATCAATTTTCTGACCTACCTTGAGTTTATCCCACAAGCTCTCTCCAGCCATCTCTCAGTTGAATGTGGAGTAATGGAGGACAGGGGTCTATCACATTTTCCCCTGAACTCAAGCCAACAGGGATGTAGTAAGTGCTTCCTGTATGCTCTTCACCGCACTAAGTCCTGTGGGGAAAGACATACCAGCGTGAAGTGTACGCTCCATCCCAGTCCACTTGGGAGAACAGGCACTCAAATAAATAGTGCAGTAGCTGCACAAGGTAAGAGCTCATTCCTTGGCGCCAAAGAAGAAAAGCGGGAAGCAAAGCACTTCCTGATTCTGCTGTCACTAGTGAAAAAAAAAATGGCACCAGTATGTACTGAATGTACTGCATATGGGATCTGCTGAAAGAATAATTGGGGCTCTAGACAGAAATGATCCAAGGCCAGGTTCGGGAAGCAGAGCACTGCTCCAGTGAATAGGCACTATATAAAGCGTCACTCTCTCCCAGACCCCCCTCCATAATACCACCGTTGCCATCAAGAACCCAAAATGATGATGAAGATGTGCGGAAGGATATTCCTTAGAGCCTGAAATTTGGAACTCCCAACTCTTCGATCAGAACTTTCCAGCTGCAAGGAACCTCAGAGATCATTTAATCTAAACTCCTTGTTTTATGATGATGAAATTAAGGCATGAGAGGTTAAGCAAGTTACCACAAGCAATGGCAGAATGGAGATTAGAGCCCATGCCTCCTCATTATTGATCTTTGTATTGTTCCAAGTTAAATCTAAAATACAAGATTTGCAAGTGTCTAATAACTACCCCCAGAGGTCAGCAAACTATGGTCTATAGGACAAATCCTGCTTGTTGCCTGTTTTGGTAAATAAAGTTTTATTGGAACATGGCTGTGCCTGTTCATTTATGTACTGGGTCTATGACTACATCCACACTACAGTGGCAGAGTTAAGTCACTGTGACAGAGACTGCATGGCCCACAAGACCCAAAATATTAACTATCTGAACATTTGCATAAAAAGTTTGCTGACCCTTACCACAGACCATTAGGAGGTGAACATTACCAAATGAACCAGCCTGTGCAGGTAGGCTCGGTAACTGAATCAGGTAGCTATCCAAATGCCTTGCTGAGTAATCCTAAGTAACCCAGGAATGGATGATGGTGGAACTGGCTGAAAGGTCTGCTGAGGACACTCAGATCATAGAAATGGTCAGCACGGCTTTCTCAAAGTCAACCCAGCCTGGGCCAGAGAGGCCCCACACACTACATGTGCTACTAGGTTAGAGGACCTTTTTAATCCACTTAAATACGTGAATCAGTGATGAGACCCTCAAAGGTGCCTTCCAGTTCTGTCATTCAAATGCCAACAAGAGGATCTTCCACCTCACTCCGTGACAACACACTGCTTTCTTTCCTAGTCCTCCATGAAATGCCACAGAAACAAAGGTATACACATGTTCCCTGCCTCAGCAGCGCCAGAATTACCTGTCTTCCTTCATGGAATAATTATATGTATTTAGCAATGACAGTCCATAAATCTACTTGTTCGAACAAGAAAAAAATTACTGATATTTGTTCTCTATCTGGCTGGCTAATTCTTAAACAAAAGGAAGTGTATTTCACCAAACCATAGGCTCCAGAGGGTTTAAGGCGTACATTACTAGCATTCAGCCTGCAGAGAAACTTTAGTCTAAGGTCCTATATGGGAACTGCTTCACAAATGTTATTACTTCTCTAGCAGATAAATATGATTCAAAACACAGACAAATGATTTAATTAACATGGTGCCTTTATGTGGACACTCTGGGGTTAGCTGGGTAAAGCTAAGCTGTTTGCAGGTATCATTCTAGTTGTATTGCTCCTGGGGAATATTCTACTTGAGCAAACCTAAGGTGCTTTTCCACATAAAAAGATTATCCCTTGGGAGTACTCAAAGTCATTATCATCACCAGAATTAATAATTAATAATGACATAATTATAATAACAAATACTATATGTACTCTAATCTTTATATAATGATACATATTGTAATACAAATAACAACACATTATATTTTATTTAATTTTAAAACTTAGTGGAAATGGACAGATGGTCTGAGGAACACTTCCTGCATCCAAGTGAGCCCCAACTTTCAAATGAAGCCCAGCATTCCTCCCTCCAGTGCCTCAGAAAATGAGATGAAATCACATGTGACAGCCTCGAGTGAGTCTCAGGTGCTACATGCTCTCACACACTCAGCATCCCTCTGACAAGAAAGAACACTGTGGCGAGTAGGAAACTAACACTCTAAAGTGGAGAGGGTAAGAAAATGTCCTGCAATATCAGCCAGAAGGGCTCCTGTGAGGCCCACGTCTACAGCAGTGAGCAGGGGAAGCAGCTCTTCTCAGAAGTACTGATAAACTGTGATGTGTACAGCTGCTCCTCTAAGGAGACAAGATCAAGGCCTGGAAGCTGCTGATGCTTTTGGAAAAGCTTCCCCAGGAGGAACCCCTTCTCAGAAAAATTGGATACCTGGCTGAGAAGTAACGGTGGTGGCTGTAAGGGTAAACTTGGCTGGCATCCCTGAGTCTCTGGAATGGCTATGCCCATAATGCTGGAGTACGGGCATATGTGCATACTACCAATGGGAGCCAGTCAAATGAAGTGAGCCTAGAAGATGATGGAAATGAGCTTTAAATAAGCCTCGCACCATTTACACGTGCAGCGGAGGCTCCATCCTGTCCCAAGAGCTGTCCTGGGAAGCAGAGCATTTACTCCACTAACGTCACCAGAATAAGAAGGGTCTAGAACTCTTCCCCGGGACTCCTTGTCAGATGCTTTGGAAACCCCCAAAAGTAGCAATTTTCTCTTTTGGGGGTAAATGTGACGTTTAGAATAAGTGAAAACATTGCTCAGAACCAAGCCTGTGAACAAGGTGAGTAATCAAACTGGGGAACCGCATGTAGGATTTAAGCGACGTATAGCTATGAAGAAATGAGTCTACTTGCCTTGGCTGGCTCAAATCCTGGTTCGGAGAGTGACTGTAACAGGCAAGTTCTCCACAGCACCCTGAACAGTGGCAGCCTGTGCGTAAGTGACTAACACTGAAAGACACACTCACTGAGATGTCACTGAGCCTGAGAAAATATTAGTTCCACGATTTTCAGCACCACCAAGTATGCAAGAAGTCAAGGCCATGTAAGTGGACTTTCAATGTAGCCAGCAATAAATGTCTACATATTCACAAGGCAAGGGAGGTCTGCAAAAGCCATCCATGCCTTTTGTCAGAGTTGGGCTAATCATAGCCCATGGACCACATCCAACCCACTGGCTCAGCACCTGCTTTTGAAATTAAAACTTTTACTGGAGCACAACCATGCCCATTTGTTTACGTGTTGCTTACCCTGTTTTCACTCTACAATGGCAGCATTGAGTAGCTGCCACAGAGAACCCATGGCCAGCAAAGCCTGAAATATTTACTATCAGACCCTTTACAGGAAGTTTGCTGACCCCAGTCCTTTGTGATCGAGTCTAATTACAGTAGGGAACGTGTGGTGAATTGTCTTTCCTCCCTAGTTTTTCTCAATGACACTTGATCTTTTTATTTGTATGGAAGGTGATAACAGAATTGGGCATATACTTTTATTAGTCTCTAGGGCTGCCATAAAAAGTGACCACAATCTGGGTGGCTATTAACAACAGAAATTCATTTTCACAATTCTGGAGGCTAAAAATCCAAAATCAATATGTTTGCTGGACTATGCTTTCTCCAAAGACTCTAGGGGAGGATCCTTCCTTGCCTCTTTCTAGCTTCTGGTGATCACCAGAAATCCTTGGCATCCGTTGGCTGGTAGATGCATCATTCCAATCTCTGGTTCCATCTTCCCATGGCCTTCTTCCTGTGTGTCCACATCCCATGTCCAAATTTTCCTCTTCTTATGAGGACACCAGTCATATTGGACTTAGGGCCCACACTATTCTGTATAACCTCATCTTAACTTGATGACATCTGCAATGACCCTATTTCCAATTAAGGTCACATTCACAAGGTTCTAGGACATGAATTTTGAGAGGACACTCTTCAACCCAGAACAATTTAGTACTTGGTACTCAATAAATTTTATTTATTTTTTTATTTATTTATTTAGCCCTTTGTGATACATTCTGACTGATTTCCAAGTCAGTTGACCCTCTTTTTCCACAAAGCTCTAAGGAGCTTGTCCTTCTGTCCTTCGGTATGTCTATCTATGTCTGCTCTCCTCTACTTAGAAATACGTCACTTCTTCTCAACTCTCTAATATTCCCTTTTTCTACTTCCTCTTGAAGATCTACATCAGAGAAAACCCATTTATGGCAATCCTCCTCTTTTTGTTTCCCACATCTTCACAACACCGAGACTTCCCAAATCTGGGCTCACGGCTTCAAGTGGCTTCCTCTGCGGTCTTGTGGCCAAGACACAAAAACCTAGCTAGCCTACTCTTCATACGAACACAGCCACTGTCTAGCAAAGAGTAGCAAAACTGTAACCATTCTCCCCTGTACTCTTCTCCCTGTGATTCTATGGTCATAATTATTATTTTGCCATTTTAAATAATACTGGCCTTTGTCTAATGTTATCAAGGAGACGTAAAAGTTAAAGGAAATCCTTACCTACCAACAGACAGTATTAACAATGTTAGGGTTGCCAGATAAAACACAGGATTCCTAGTTAAATTTGAATTTCAGATAACAAGGAATAAGTTTTTAGTGTTAAGAATGGCCCATGCAATATTTAGGACATATTTGTACTACAAAATATAATTTCTATTTATCTGAAATCCAAAATTATCTGGGCCTCATGGATTTTATTTTAAATCGAGCAACCCTAAATAATAGTTCATTGGCTATTTATAAGTACAAAAGACTTCACTAACTATACTACACAGTACTTACCTCCTGTCGCCTGTTGTCAATACCTCTGAGGGATCAGCTTTTAAGGCCAGTTGTTCGCAAGTAACAATTAAGAATTTGTTTCTCTTTTTCTCTCCAGCATCTGAGGAGAATCCTCTAGGAATTCTGGCAGCACCGCCTAGTGATGCCCGTGGTATCAGCATCAGACCACCAACCCTCAGTAGCCACGCGGCTCTGAGCAAGTTACTGACCCTCTCCCTCTAGGCCTCAGTTTGCCCATTTGTAAAAGAGGGGTAATCACAGTTGGATTAAATAGTCCATGTGGAAGCACTATACTTGGCACAGAGCAAGCATCTAATTAATACCTTCCCATCGCCTAGCACCCTTATTACCCAGAGGGACTTATTGCCTGACTGGTGGGGAGGGTGCAAGGGGCCTGGACCTCTCCAGATGAAGTTATACCTGCCTTCACCAAAATCCCCTGACAAGCTCGAAGAAATGTGCTCCCTATATAGCTTTAAGCTTGTGTCAGAGAGTTATTCATACTTTATAAGTAAATATTATTTTACAAACCCTGTGATTATAATGGGAAAAGCACATTTCCATTGCATCACAGTTTTGTAACCCTGTTTTGTGCCTTTCTTATTTTAAAAAATACGGAGACACTAAGAAACTACAGGTAAGCAGGGGCTTATACTAACTTCTAATGGTAAATCTATGAACCCACTGCTGAGAGTGATGAACAGTGGCCCTCCCCAGCCCAGACCATCTAGCCAGTGGGTACACAGGTATGCCTCAGAGGAGCCACAGATAAGGGCCTAAGGAGGACTGGAAGAGGCCAAAGCCCTGGGCCAGCACTCCATCCATAAACAGCTCATCCATCTTCTCCAGAGAGCCCTACAAATATTGTCATTTTATATTTGTGCCATGACGTGAAAAATGATGGGAAGCACTATTCTAGCCTCCAGGGAAAACTCACAGCTTTGCCACCTCAGTCCCCCAAAATCCACCCTGAGGAAGAAGAGGAATCGGAAATGGATCAATGACAAGTTGAGTCCTTAGAGAACACAATTTTCGTCCTCATATTAAGGGTAGAGGCTTTAATGGATGGGAGGAGTAGAGGGAAAGTAAATAAAACCAGACAGGGGCAAACTATTCTGTTTCTTTTTTGCCTTCCTCATTGTGTTCCCTGTTTAAGGTTCCAACTAGCTCTGTGTCTGATCGGAACATCTCACCTCTCCTGATCCTCGATTGAACGTTTGGGGGAAGAACACACAGAACAAGGGCTTGAGCTATCTCTGCTCTGTCCTTGGGGGAGGGCACTGATTTTCTCTGACTTGCCCATTTTTCCCCATGATGGTGAGACTAAGATCCAGATGCCCAAGTCAAGGGGCATATGGGCAGGGCAATTTGAGAGGTGGGTATTTACCATCTCTGAGACTCTAATCTGAACAACAGGCAATGATCTGGCATGTCAATATAATGCCATCAGGTGCAGTGAGGAAAGCATGGGGGTAGGGCTTGAACAATTCTTGGGATGAAACTCAACACAAAATCTGGTTTTGTGACTTTAGGCAAGTCAGTCACTAAAATTCTCTGAGCCTCATTTTTTCTCTCATGGGAAATGGGGATAATAACACCTTCCTGACTGGAATATTGTAGGGATTTAGGGAATCATACTTTGATAAGAAGAAGCATTATTTCATCCTGCCTGATACACAGAGGAATCTAATAAATGTTACTTTCCTGCTGCGCTCTTCCCTGATTCCCCATTTTTCTCAGAGAATCTAAGGAAATATGCTTCCACAGATCTGCTGTCCAGAGGCAGCCCTGCCCCTGTGGCTCCACCTCCCAGGTAGGATTTGTATGCAGCTGCCTCAGTTGCCTGCTCCGCAACTCCAGCCTCGTTCCATGCATTTCTAGTGACCACATCCTCGCCATCTGATGGAGGTCCTTGGTTCCATTATCAGCACAGAAAATCTGCTTTAACAAATCCAGTTTTTAAAGAGAAGCTTTTATCATCTTTTAAAAATATCTTAAAACTATTTAAACAAAATAGCACCTTTTTGAATGGTGATCTGATGATCTTTGTTCTCTCCTGATACTTCCTATTCCTGGGCTTGAGTCATCCTGAAATGAGACCATCAGTACCACAGGCCAAGCTAATTTCCCAAGACCACAGACCCAATCAGGCATCTCCCCTCCTCAAACACTCTCAGCAGCTCCCCAAGCACCTTAGCCTGCCAGTCAAAGTCCTCCATGATTCTGCCCAAGCAAATATTTCAGCTATGGTCACCCCTGAACCAGCATTCCAACTGCAGCTAAAATGGAAATGAAAGCTACACAAGACCCTGACTTTCTTCTGCTGTTTCCTTATGTCGTTCCTCATTTCCACATGTACAACCACCCCTCAAAAAAAATGCCCTTCCCAGTCAGCCACATTGACATTGTTCCCTTCTCTGAACTCCCAGAGCAATTAACATGCTCTGCATTGACTGACAGATATTTAAATAATAATAAAAAATCACCATCTAACCTCTTATATAGGCCTCACATATCCACAAGTGTCCTTTAATATTTGCATCTGCATGATCTCATCAACTACATTATAATCCCTTCAAAGACATAGGTTTAATTTCATATTTCTCTCTGTATTCCCCAGGGCATCTGACCAATGCTTTGAACATAGAACCATGTACAATAAAAATTTGAGGAAGAAATGAAGGAATGAATGAATGGTTCTCAAGAAGGAAGTGTCATAAGGAGTCAGATGCTATGAGAAGCAAGGCTGATGACCTCAAAGTTCCTTTCACCCTCTTTAAATGGCACTAGTCCGATATTTGTTATTTTTTTAATGCTACGTACTTATTCCACACATAACTGATGTTCACACACTATAAGCAAACTAAATGCACTGATGGTATGATTCATGAAGGGTCACAGAAATGGCCCTGCCTTCATCTAGTAAAGGGATTTGAGGCATGGTCATAAATGCAGATTGATAGAGCAGCCTCAAATAAACAAAATGAGGCAAGAGGTATAAACAAATGTCCCAGAAGTTCGAAAGAGGTGCAAACCTTCTAGTTATGAGAGCTACATCAATAATCAACGAGAGTCCAAGTTTACAGGAGCTAATGAGTTTCAAGGATTAGGGAGTCCAGGTCAGTGGACCCTATCAAAGTTACAGGTATGGGAACAAAGCACTCCATTGCAACTATACCTTGCCATGAGGTGACACGTTCAGAGATGGCCAGATCCTCAAATACAGGGAAAGCCTTTCACAGAACTCAGTGCCTATGAGCCTTGGAATCCTCATCTGTAAAATGAAAATAACATTAGCTCCTCTATAGGGTTGAAATGAGATCGAAGTGAAACATGCGTCAAAGGTCTTCTACTACACTAAAGACACCACATATGTCCAATAAATACTAACTACCACACATATTATTACAATATCTCATCAACTCTAAGGTACCATGGGCTGGAAGGTATGTGATTTTAAAACAGTGTTTTAGGAAGAAAAAGAAATTAAAAAAGATATGTTTAGTGTACTATAAGCAGGATGCTGATCACAGCTATCTTAAAATGCTAAAAAGCTACTTCCTAGAATTGAGGAAATACGGTAGTAGTAAACAGTATGTCTCAAGAGTCCATTGATTGTGCTTAATTTCTCTGGAATTTAAAGCTACATCAAGTCCTTATAGGTCAGAGACCTCAGGATATTTGTGTCTGTCAAAGCAGGATCCTATAGCTCAGACCCTGGAGGATGGATTGGGACCTTTGCTCGAGTCTCTCTCTCACACACACACACACACACACACACACATTCCAGATATGGAAACCTAGGAACAAATCACCCTTCACAGTAAACTTGCTCATTGTCTGAGCAGAATCGTGTTCTTTTAAAAATAAAACTGTGAGTGGGAGTGCTTGCGTTCTGGAATAGAGTCTTTTTTTTTTTTTCCCTTCATCCCATGTTCCTTGGCTACATGCTATTATGTGATATTCAGGACTGTCAAACCTTCTGGAGCCATAAGCATTTTTCAGACAACCAATCTCAATATGCATTATCAAAATTAGATCTTTTCTCTGCAGATGACAATTATGTATTATATGGTTACACGCTTATGAGTCTGTGACACCGTATTGTTAGACTTGGGGTACTGACTTTTAACAATATGTTACCTTATTATATTTGGTGTCACATTATGCCTGGATTGCAGCATTTGTCCCGTGGCCCCACTCAGGCTGCAATTAGTTTCTCAGTAAGTGTCAAACAACGTTGGGGGGAAGAGTGAGTGAAAGGTAACTTGGAAATGATTTTCTTCTGCAACTGTCACGTAACTATCCTGTTCCTCAACAAAAGAACTTCAACTATTCCAGCAAAAGACAAGTTGTATGCTCATCAATAAGATTGCCTCTGAAGAAAAAGGCAACTCTGGATGGGAGGTCAAACATTCTGAAGGTCTTGGATACCAGCCCACGATCACAAAAGAGCTGATTACTGGGCAGGGAGAAAGAGGAAGAATAGGACGTAAGAAATCCTGGTATTTGTTTCTATAAACACAAGCTCAGTGCAGTTAAAACTCATAAACCTGCTAAAAGGAGCTAAAGGTAGCCTGTTACTTTGTCATATATTTTTATAGGCCTTTCTGAATGGTTTCAGATTTGACATAGTAACTGCCTGTTACTAGAAATAAACTGTAAGTCAATTCCATGCTGCCATAATTCACTGCCCAGGGTTGTTCAAAGAGATTTAGTGATGCCCCCGATGGACAGCAAGGCCCCTGATGTGTTCATTTTCACTAGGTGTTTTGTAGTGCCTCCAGCTTGCTGACCTCTAACGCCCCGGAAGCAGAGGACCTTCCTAAGGTGTGACCACTCCCACCAAGTCGGTACAAGACCCATCCTTGCAAGAAGGCAAATGAGACATTCTCTACAAGCCTCTCCGGGTCTGCCTGCCTCCCTCTTTATTTCTAGAGGTTGACAATCACTGTTCCCACAAGAGTGACCTGCTTTGGAAGAATAAATTAATCCAAGGTCACAATACCACCCAGCAGGAATTAGGTGCCTGGAAAGTAGCAATACCTCATCTCCTTGGCTGGCATTTTCTTTTGGCTCAAGACTTTGGCTGCATCTCCACCATGTCACGCACCCAGATGGAAAGTGAAAAATCCATTCAGCCATCTGGCTGTTTCGGTCTACACAATGCCATGCATCTGGGGCCATCTGGGAGACGGACTAAATTTTTTCACTTTCTGCCTGGTTGTTTGGTGTGGTGTAGATGGAGCCTTTTACTAGGCTAAAGTACCAGATAACCCCCTGCCCCATTTGAAAAGCTAAAAGAGGAATCCAGGATAATGAGGCCTATAGCACCATTCTGGAAAATAAACTGAGACTTTGTGAATAGCAGTATAACACAAACTGCAGGAAAAAATAAAGAATAAGACTATTGTTTATTAGATAAAGCAAACTCAAGAACTGAATCAAGTGATTATTTGTCAACTTAGTTTGTCCCAGACAGCTAGCACAAAATTCTCAAGGGCATATTATTACGATTCTTTCCTACAGTTGGACATTAGTCTAAAAGGCATCTTGAATGGACTCCTGTGCTTGGAATTGTGGTTGAACTAAAATATATGATTTCTAGACCCTAACTGGTATCTCCTATAAGAGACTCTCTCTGTTTCTGAGTCAGTTCTAAAACAAATAATAGAAAAATATATGAAACACTTCCCAAGAATCATATTCAACTTAACAGAACTTCTGTACTGATTTCAGAAACTCAATATATTAGCAACACTAGGGGCTTAATAGTGTGGGGTGGAGGGCTGAGAGTACAGAGTGTATAAATTGTGGGAAAATGTAAATAGTGATTGTCAAATTAGGGTTTCCCTGGTATTATAATTAAACATTGTGGAATTCAGGGCTACTTTCTCTTCCCCCAGCTCATTTCTGAAGCTTATCTCTGGCAAGGTCTGGCAGCTTTCCCTTAACTTCAGTCTCTGCAGACAGCAATGCTTGACTCAGTTTCTAGAGTTTTCTTCCCATATGCTGTTGGGAAAATATTAAAATAAATAAATAACAGGAATAGATATGGGAAAATCACAATTAAAATGTTCAGCCTAAGGAGGCAAAGTGGGGACTAGGTCATTGGGCCATCATGACATGTACCCAAGGACTAAGACCAACATTTGCCCTGAAGCTGCCTTTAGATTAAAAAAAAAAAAAAAGGATGGAGGCCATTTAGGGCCCAGAGGAGAAAAGAAAAGTAAATTTATGAAAGGTAGGCTGAGAGGATAAAAATAAGGTCCTTGCTGTTTCTATTCCAGCATTATGAACAGGAATCCCCCTGAACACATTTAAATGACATGTTCACATTTTATGAATCAGACCCTTAGTTTTAATTGCTTCTTGGACTATAGGCCAATTAAGGATGGGTCCGGAGGGCAGGGATCATTCCCACAGCCTCTGAGGTTCTAAGAGGTGGAGCTTGCTTAGCCTGAGGCATCCATTCACACTTGTATTTAAAAACACACACACACACACACACAGACTGAGTACACCATTAAACACCTCTGGTAAGCATGCTTACTTTATATGGGCTGAAAGCAAGACCTGGAGACCACAAGTCCCCCTTTGGCCCCATCTATTCCTTTCAAATAAAATCAATTATATTTCTTCTTGTCTGAGCCATGGAAAACTTAATACCAATATATACAGACTCAGTACTGTATCTTGAGAAACTGCCAATAAGTTTGCAAGTCCTCTGAGATCTCCTCTCTTTTTATCTATAATTGATCCCCTGCACCTTTATGCAATAGTGAGGTTAAAGATTAAGAGTTTTTTAAAAAAATATTACATGTAACACCAGCTGCATAACATACACATCTTAATGGATTCCTAGTTCCCATGAAGTAACTCCAATATGGTAAATTACTGAAGTAAGTAGTAACACTTAATGGGAAGAAAAATAGAATCTGTTATTAAAACTATACGTTATCTTTTATATACTTTGACTTATGTATACAGTATTTCCCCTGCTTCATTTTCACATAAGAAAATTAAAACTTACTGATTTATACAAATAATGTATTTACCAACCATTTTCCAAAGCTTTTAAAATCAACTTTAGGTCTGATCACCAGGTTTTAGTGGGACAGTCACCTGCACCTCACATTTTAGTGCTGAACATGTCTAAATGTTAATTTTGAGGAGCCCATGGCGGGTGGTGAGAGGGTCAAGCTAAAGCACATGCACCTAGCAATAGCAAATAGCATTTCTCGCTTATGGGTCACTGGTTCAAGTCTCACTCCAGTCAGCAGGACCCCAAAGCCATGACCATTTAGTTGCTCAGGGATCTGGTGAATTAAGTTGCTATGAGAAGTCTGGTCACCATTCCAGCTGGACATCTAATCAAAATGAACAGACATAACTCACCCTGTTCTCCTCCCAGCTTCCTTCCCTTCCCCCATATTGTCCTAGCTATGGAGCCCTAACCAAGAGACCCCAAATGACTGGGCCTGGAGTTAGAAACCCTGCCCTCCCACTTCTAGAAATGTAGACTCCTGTCCTCCTACACACACACACACACGCACATGCACGCACACACACACACTCTCTCTCTCTCTCTCTCCAGTACCTGTATTCTACATCCATAATCCACACATGCACACAGTCATGAGGGAGTCCAGTCACCGTCCATGGTCTCAGGAGGTAAATCACCTTCTCTGCTTATGCCATTAATCCAATGCCTTTTGCTGATGCCAAATTTACTTGTAATCTTTTCTCATCCTCTAAATATACGCACCACACTGCAAATAACCAACTAACTGAACAATATAAAAAATAATATCCCAATTTATGATAAATATTACGATGAAGCTTTTACATTTTCTTAATGAAGAAAGAAAGCATTGAGATAAAAGTAAAATGATTTATTAGATTTTGTTTCTTTGCCACTGAAATATAATAGCAAACCAGCCTGGCAGTTAATGCAGGGACCCTGCATGTGCTCATTAACTCTCTGCCAGGTACAAAGGTGTCCTAACAGCTCTGTTTTAATTCCATGATCTGGCCCATAATCCAGTGCTAAACAATAATTAGTATCGACTTGTTAAACAGTAGTTGAAGGCTTCCTTTAAGTACAGCAAATATTCTTTAAGTTCCACAGACGGAGAATCAAAGGAAGGAGGAGGCACAGTTGGGAGAAGAGAGAGGGAAGCACGAAGGCATTTGTAAGGTTTTTAACCATAAAGAAAGAATTGTTCTCCTGCCTGGGGCCTCTGCACACACTTATGCATTG